ATGTGTCTTTGAAAAAAAAAAAAAAGACAAGTAGAGCTTGAGAATATATAATTGAAATTTGAGTCAATAAAATATACATGTCATTATTGTCCATTCCTTATCCTTGTATGTGCTGAGTTAATTACACTCGTAAACTGATGTACAAGTACCCATGAAAACATGATCCCAAAAGTATGGAATGGGAAGAGTTAATTACATGTAATGAAAATATGACCCCAAAAGTATGAAGCTTATGATGAAGACCGACGAGATAAATGTGAAGATAGCCTACTAAAATCGATCATAACTCTTATCAAATCATTGACAGCCACAATTTGTCACACAGGAAACATTAAAGAAATTCACAAAACTTGCAACCGCACAAGGCGGGTAGGGGGTTAATAAGCAAAGAACACACAAAGTATGTAAAAAAGTAGAATCATTGCACTAAAAGAAACCGCAATCAAGGTCGAAGAAAATAGGCTAAAGGACCATTACGCATAGCTAATAAGACCGCCACAAATGACACAGCAATATGACACTCGAACAAAGAAAGATGGCACCAGACCATAGGGTCGACGAGCCGTAGTTTATTTTTTTTGGCATACTAATCAGTGGAAAGGGGAATGTTACCATAGGGGTAAACCCGCAGGAGGCCACCATGTATGCCGAGATTTTTCAAGTTGCGAGTCTCACAATCGTAAAGCAGCAGGTCGCCATTGGAGTCCTGAATGAGCACTTTATCATTCTTGTAGAGACCAATTATCTCACGTAGAGCACCACAATAAGCAGGAACCTCAAACTCGTCTGCACAGGACCAATCGCCATTCCCCCACACCCAAATCTCAAAACAAGCATTCTGCATCTTCTTCGTATACGGCGGCTGATTAAAATCGTAAACAACAGCCGCGAGGGAACCGTGAAACTCAGCAAGAACAAATCTCACATTGTACCCAAGCTTTTCGCTTACGGGCATAAGGATAAGATTAGGCAGAAACTCCTCATTAGCAAAGTCAAACGAAATAACAACGTAAAGTTTCTCATCAAATATATGAAAAGCTAGCCAGTAATAGAAGCCATTTATGTGAAGAGCACGTCTTTCAATGGGTTTGAACATAGGATCATAAGGATACGGAATCTCCTTCCAGGAACCGGTTCGGAGGGACAATACCTCCGAGAAAACTCGAGGGCTGCTGAACTGTTGAGATCTGACTACCTTATAGTCTCCGGATGCACGAGGATCAAACCCCACGCCCAAACCCCGACAACCAAAAGGGTATGGGTCTTCTGGAATTGGAGGCCGAATGGCAGAAAGAGGAAGGGGTTTCGTCTCGTCAGTCGTCGGGTCCCACAGAAGCTCGTACGAAGGTCCAGGCACTTTCTGACATGTCAACAACATCCATTTGTGGTTGGAAGACGCTCGAACGGCATGGTCGGCGTTACTACCCTCTGTCTTGAAAACTTGAGATCTGAGTTTGGGAAAAGTATCTTGTACCACTCGGAACGAGTTGTTCTCCGTTGAAATTACGTAGTGCTCGTAGGTTTTTTGGTTGTGTACTTCCACCATAAGCATGAGATTTTTGTTGGTGTTCTCATGCTGCTTCAAATTGGGGGAAATCGCCGGCGCCGCAGTAGTGCTAAGGAAACGATGGAAAATAGTGGAGCTGAGATTTTCGGGGAGGAATTTGAATTTGGATTTGGCGTTAGCGAGTAGATTGGCGGTGGCTGAGAGGATTCTCATGTTTATGTCTGCGGAAGAAGAACGACAAATAACAAATTTTGTATTTCAAGTTTTTCAACACTCTTGTATTTTAATTTTTAACACATTCTAAATTTCTAATAGACCCAAATAGTGCAAGCACAACAGCCCAACCCACCCCACTATTGCATAACATTTTAATAGATTGTCGGAGGCCCAACTATGATAATAAAAATATAGCGATGTATGCGTGGCCAAAAAATAAAAATAAAAAATCCCCATTACTCCATACGCACATTGCTTCGATTGCTGCCTTGCAGCGGTTGGGGGTTGAGACTGGTGCTTTGTCTTTCGATTGGGGGCTGTCGTCTCTAGTCGTCTAAGCTGCGGTCACATGTTGTTTGGGGGAGGGATTGTATGCGGAATCTCCTGATGCTACTGACTCGTTGGTGACCATCCGGGAGGTTTTCTAGTCTGTTGGTCTAAATCTAGTTAGCCGTTAGGGAAGCTTTTAGTTCCTATGTTTATGTTGTAGGCGGGTGATCGCCTTGGGTGTTGGTTAGGGGAGTTTCTAGTTCCTGTTTTTTATATTTTTATATTAACTCCTTAGAAGTATATCGATCTATTTTATGGATAGAAACATGCATGAAACGTGATATTTTGTACTTAAGGATAACGATTCCTATTCAAAGTGGACATATTTTATAACTTATTTGACATTACGTTCAATTACTTTTAATTAGTTAACTTAATTTATTTGTTACTATGTATACTTATCCTTTTACGATAAATTATACTTTTATATCTTATTTTCGTAATCGTTGCAATTATCGTTTCTATTATAAATATATCAAATATAAAGTATCTTAAGCAATCAACATTCATCTATTTAGCAATATGTCTGGGCATTTGATTTTTTTACATGTTATTCATTGTTCTATTCAGGACCGGCCCAGGGCGACCTGGGCGACAGCCCAAGGCCCAATTCAATCTAGGGCACCAGACCAGCCCATATATGTCCTTTCTATCTCATCTCATTTTCATTTTATTTTTGACTACATAGAAAGAAAAAGAACTAGGACCAGCCCAATTCGTATGAGCACCCACATTTATTCGTATGACCAGCCCCTCTCCCCATACAATTTTTCTCGCGCACACTACCTTATATTTCCTCCCTCTCTTTCAGTCTTTCTAAATTCTACTTAATCATATGTTATATATTATTATATTATTTTAAGTAATCTATTTACTTCTTTGTTGTTTGAAAAAAAAGTACCTTATTTACTTTTGAAATGAACTATTTATATTATTTACTTTTAAAAATTTATATAATTTTTTGATAGCAATTATAATTATTTTATAGTTTAAATTTGCTTCACTAATTAAATTTTTTTCAGTGAAGTTTAAAGTTTGTTTAATGTATATTTAAATATACCTAGTAATATTAAAAGAAAAAAACATATACTATTTTTAGAGTGTGAAATCATGCCATTATCTTTTATGGGTGCAATGAATTTTTTTATTGAATTGCTTCTAGTTGCTAGTTTTTGTTATGAGGTTGCATTTTTTTTTTGGTTATATAATTCTATTATTTAATTTTTTTTCAAAAAATGAAATGGGTTATGAATTTTATCACTTTATTGTTAAATAATACTCGGGCATTATTTTTGGATTTGGCTCAGGGCCTTAAAATGGTCAGGACCGGCTCTGGTTCTATTATTGTTCTATTATATAATAGTTTTTATTTTTTTGTTGCTTTTTAAAAAATGACCTTTTTCATAAAAATTGATTGGTCAATCATATTTTCTAAGCAAAAGTGTGTACAATTGTGAAATTTCAATATAGAGAGGCTATGGATAATACTTTATCCGTGTGCTAGTTTCTTTATAAATATTTCATAAGCATAAATTTTTTTCTGCAGAACATACTGAAGTCTTACAAGAAGTTGCAGTTCATACATACACAAGGAAATTTTCTGGAGAACCTAGCAAAAACCACTAATACCACGAATAAATAATAAAGCACCAAAAACAGATCCCCCAAACCGAAAATCAAACACCATTGCTAGTAAGGAGCTCCACAAGCTCAATCTTTTTCAGTTTTGAGTAACCCTTGATTCCATTAGACTTTGCAACTTCTTTCAATTCAGCGAGTTTCATTTTTTTAAATTTCTCTAATTCGTTGCTATCTTCTGAATTGTCTGTTGTTGGAGACCTTTGAGTGAATTGTGAAGGCGGCCTTATCGATTTAATTTCAGTAGTTTCCTTCTCTTTGTGTGGAGAATCCTTCTGCAGGCTTACTAATTTATCCCCTTTGTTCACCGTACTTTTTCCTGCCAGGGAGCACAAAGGAACTAAGTTCAAACCAATAAAGTGACGGATTAACAATCACAATTATCTTCTTCAATTCACATGTTTAAAGGGTAACCTTGCAGTTGATACCTAAGATTTAAGAAAGTGAGATTTACATGTTCACCAAAGCAGTGAATCATACAACTAGCGGCCAATTAGTTGCTATCATCAGCCGAAAGAAGAAAACTTATTATGAAAGCAATCACATATCCATCAAGCCGGCAAAGCTGGCTAAGATAGACTAGAAGAGACTAATCCAACCTAGCTATAAGAGGTCTTGCAATTCCTTGATTTTCACTTCATATGGTAGGATTATTTTTCTAACTTGAGCTCATAAAAGCGATCATAACTCTTATCAAATCATTGACAGCCACAATTTGACATACAGAAAACAATAACGAAACTCACTAAGCTTGCAACAGCACGAGGTAGTAAAAAAGTAACCTCATTGCACTAAAAAAAAAACGCATTCAATAAACGAGCTGTGGTATATTATTGTTATTATTATTATTATTATTATTTTGGTATACTAATAAGTTGGAAAGGGGAATGTTACCATAGGGGTAAAACCGCAAGTTGAACGAGTCATCATGGATTCCGAGATATTTCAAGCTGCGGGTCTCACAATCGTAAAGCAATAGTTCACCATTGGAGTCCTGAATGAGCACTTTATCATTCTTGTAGAGACCGATTATCGCATGTAGAGCATCACAGTTAGTAGGAACCTCAAACTCATCCACCCAAGACCAATCGTCGTTACCCCACACCCAAATCTCAAAACAAGCCTTCTTCTTCTTCTTCTTCTTCTTCTTATTAAAATCGTAAACAATAGCCGCAAGCGAACCGTGAAACTCAGCAGGAACAACTCTCACATTGTCCCCGAGCTTTTCGCTTTTGGGAACAGGGATGAGAGCAGGTGGAAACTTCTCATTAGCAAAGTCAAACGGAACAATAGCGTACGTTTTCTTGGTAAGATGACAAGCTAGCCAGTAATAGAAGCCATTTATGTGAAGAGCACGGTTTTCAATGGGTTTGAACTCAAGACCATAAGGATACGGAATCTCCTTCCAGTGACCCGTTTGGAGGGACAACACCTCAGAGCGGATTCGAATGTCAGATCCTTGATAAAGGAACATTTGAGATCTGACCACCTTATAATCCCCGGATGGATGAGGATCAAACCCCACACCAACACCCCAACAGAAACTGAATATTGGGAAAGGCAGGGGAGGCCTAAGTGCAGAAAGAGGAAGGGGTTTCGTCTCGTCAGTCGTCGGGTCCCACAGAAGCTCGTACGAAGGTCCAGGCACTTTTTGACATGTCAACAACATCCATTTGTAGTTGGAACACGCTCGAACGATATAATCGGCGTTCATATATTCTTTATAGTAATTTTCAGCTCTGAGTAACGATAAGTTGGGAAGATTATCTTGCACCACTCGGACCGAGTTGTTTTCCATTGAGATTACGCAGTAGTCGCAGGTTGTTACGTTGAGTAATGGCACCATAAGCATGAGATTTTTGTTGGTGTTGTCATGCTGTTTCAAATTGGGGGAAAGCGCCGGCGCCGCTGTAGTGCTAGTAAAACGATGGAAAATAGTGGAGCTGAGATTTGCGGGGAGGAATTTGAATTGGGGTTTGGCGTTAGCGAGTAGATTGGCGGTGGCTGAGAGGATTCTCATGGTTATGTCTGCGGAAGAAGAACGACTAATAACAAATTTTGTATTTCAATTTTCAACACTTGTATTTTAATCTATATATATATAATTGCTAGCTAACCTCATTTAATAAAACATTTAATAAAAACATTTTCATTTTCCCTCCAAAAGAAGTTTCATTTTTTTAATTAATTACTCATTAATCTCACATTTAAGAAGATTTCTTTTAGTTAAACTTAATTAGTTAATAACTAAATTAAAAAAGTTTCTTTTAGTTAATCCCACATTTATATCTCTTATTCTCATTTATATATATTAACGTGATAGTCATTATTGTTGTGCAGAAACTATATATTATTATTTTTTATTTCATTATGAATTGAATAAGCAATTAAAGTTATAAGAAATATTAACAAATGTATTAATTACAAACATTATAATACATATCATGTTACATTACAATATAAAAAATGAAATTATTTTTTTTGTAATTTAATTTCTAGCCATACTCAATCAAACATATAACTACAAAACGATAAGAAAAAATAGTTTCATAATAAAAATTAAAAATTTAGCTCCCAAAATGGTAAAACCTTATAAATTAGTAGTATAGATACATTTAAATGACATATAATTTATAAACTTAGACTATACGCATAATAAGATGAATTGAAAAAAACTTAATGAATTAAATAAATAAATTATTATTATAACACAGTCTATATAATTATTATAGCAAAGTCTATATTGTCAATATTATCATTTAAAAAGTTCATTGAAAAAACATATGTAT